GAAAACTTCAAATAAATCATTGATTTCAGGGTTAACAAGTCAATTAGGCGTTTGGTACGATAATTTAGTTAATAAGCTACCAAATAAAGTCAATGAGAACGCGTAATATGAAGGTTTGCACCCATAATTACCACAAACAAAAGAAGTTCTCCGACCGAATCATTTTTTTTTCTTTATCAGATAGGCCGAAGTGAATTCATTGGCGTTTCAATGCGTGAGGCCGAGTTTAGAATCCGTAGGCCGAGTTTGGCGTCAAGAAGCAGTGTAGACTTTTAACAATAACTAAACAATTTGTTTCTCTATATCAAATCTTACGGTACGTACAGAAAGGTAAAATTTGGTAGCCATCAGTAACAATAGCATTCCCTTTGGTGCTTAACTGCGCTAGATTAAGAAAGACTAAGTGCGGGTTGTGCCTAATAAGCCGGAAATGGGGTAGTTAACCCTATCTGACACTACAAAACATCTTATCATGTTAATCTTAATGCATATATAGAGGTACCAGACATTTTTGCACTGCACTGTCCTCTGTGAACAGTTATTGGAAAAATGTGAATTATGTGTAGTTTCCGATCGATGCCACCGCCAACAACAGCACTGACATCTGATGGAACATGAAAGCTGATTCGTTTTTTACTCAATCACCCTTGTAGTGACGTAACAATGTTTGTTTCGATCGGCGCTTACATAGGAAATTTAATATGGGTTAAAGAATTTTTTGTAGGGGAATTGGCTCTAATGTTGGCCTGTGGATCTAAGATTGGGCCCATCGCAAAAAATCTGTTATTTTTAAATTTTATCCAGATGAACGCGTCATTGGGACGGTAATAATGGATATTTTTGGTTGATTTTGAAAATTTAGTCGATTGCTGAATTTATGTATGAGGCAAAATTAGGGGCATAATGTTGAGGTAAATAATTGATTATTGAATTACCACTCTATATACCATGAAAAAGCAGCCTGTTTGTGAGTTTGTGCCTGTTTTCAAGTAAGGAGTTATCATAAAAAAAACAATTCACCAGCTGGTATTTCTCTGCGACTTTACAAATAAATACAATCAAACAAAATCATAATGCAGAACTAGGATTTGTTTCACTTTATATTTCACAAAATTGCTTTCGAGTGTTATGACATCGTCTCCCGCAAAGTTTACATTTTGACATAGGATTACGTCTCTCGGCAACATATTGGGGATGCAATTGAAAAAAAAACAAAATCAACCATGCTACCAAAAGTGGTCAGGTTTTGACCACTTATAACTCTGTCAATAGTGGATGGATTTTATTTCTAAACAAGCCAATCGATTGGTAATTTTTCTTTAAAGCTGCTTAATTGAATACTTCATCAATTTTCAATAGGTCACTATTGAAAATTGCACAAATGTCCAACTGTGGAAATGGTTATCAAAATTATCACCGATGATTGAAAAGTGGTTTCCCTAACATAGTCGCCAAATATTGATACCGAGCACGTAATCCTACGTCAAATCTACGGTCGAGTCTTGGATACAACCTCTTAATTTTTTTTTTCATGAAAACAATATCGATTGGTGTAGGGTTGAGCGCTACTTCGTCGTAATCGCCCATTTACGTTCTATCGATCAGAAATGATCAATAATATCAATGGTTTCACCGTCTACAAATCAATAATAGTTTTGTTCCGATGCGTTAGTTCATTAGCTACAACATAAAACCTATAAGAGCGCATTGTATGAATATTTACGCTCATTGTTCTCAAAACTAAAGAAGCGCTCCTAGCGAATCCCCCTTCTTCTACGTTTATCCGTAGGACGAAGAAAATCTAATGGCGTTTCAATGCGTTAGGACGGAATTGAAATTCGTTGAACGAATTTAGAATCAAGAAGCAGTATTAGATTTTAAACAATATCTCAACAATTTGTGACTCTTAATCAAATCCACCGGTATGGAAAGGTGAATAAATTTAGATGTCATCTTCGACAGAAATATTCAATTTATTGTTTAAACTCGTTCAGAAAAGAGAGGTAGAGTATGGGTTCTACTTAGTACGACGGAAATTAGATCAAAAACCCTATTTGGATTTTAATATCATCTAGAAATGACAAAGTTATAAACGTTCAAAACCTAACACCTCTTCGTGAGGGTCACAATTTTCGATTTTTGATTTACCCCCTGTGCCTTCCCGTAAGACGTAGTCTGCGTCAAAAAAGATAGAAATATCATATGGGGTTCGACGAGATTCGAACCATTATCGACTGCGTGAGCGTCAGTACTACTAACCACTGCTAAGGAAATAATGAAAGCCCAACAGTTTCTTTAACAGCCACGGTTATATGCTGTTCAATGATAAGCGTTGGCTGCAGCGCCGAACACTCATCGCTTCTAGCAAAGATTTACAGTTTCTTACGGGATTTTTCGGTGGAGTGAAAGAATAGTATAAAGTTCGCAGGATTCGTACGCAGACTGACGTTTGCTTATGGGTTTTTACTACCGTAAAACTTTGATAGTATAATTTAAAGAATAAATTTACTCACTGTGCTTTTTCCAAATAAGAAACATTGGTTTTATATTGTAGCTTGGGGTATTTCCGTTGATATCGTATAAAGTTTTTATATAGTATGTGTTACATATTTTACAAAAATATTAAAAAACCATTTTCGTATTTCTTGCTTTTTTGAAAAAGCACTCAAACCATCACTTATGAAATGTATTTCCGATACAGCCATCACAAATTCAATGTTGTATTCTTATTGCTTATGAAGTTTTCTGATTATATACTCATTCAAAGTTTTATATTTAAAGAACTTAATTGTTTGAATTTCACTCATTTTTTTCTACATTCATCGAGCATTATCAAATAACCCCAAATCAAAATACTGAAGTTCGGTCACAAGACTAAAAAAATAGTGCAAATGCTTTAATTTTCGTTCAACATATTACTAACGAATTAACTCTTGGATCCTCAGTATTTGTTTTAAAAATATAAAATTTGAAAAACATTCAATGCTGTAAAAAATATTTCGAATATACTTAAAAAAAAAAAAAAAAACGGCGCCGGTGGTGTAGTGGTAAGCGTGATAACTTCTCACCCCAGCAGGCCTGGGTTCAATCCCAGTCGGCGCCGCCGGGATGTTCTGAGGCATAACATCTCTGATCAAGCCGTTGGTCCCCGGTTTATAAGTTGATGGGTCGATAGATAGGGTCCAGGTGTGGGAGCTGCCTCCCTAGCGTCAGTAGCATTGGTGCTCAGCACGGAAAACAAGATCGACGGAAAACAAACCAAAGAAAAAAAAATACTTTAAAAAACTATCAATGTTACCCCGTTTTACGGTATTTACTACTTTTAGGAGTAAAGAGTTTCAGAGTCAACGTAAACGCCAATGGAAATAAAAAATACTTTTGCGATAATAAATTTCGCATTGATATGATGTGAATAGAATAAATCATTTTGATCAATTTTTCCCTGAACTTGTCTACCAGGGGAGCAAACCATTTCAAATTTTACGGTTTTTTTAATCACTGAAATTATTCTCGTTGAAACCAGGCCACCATTGACATATGATCTTGAAATTCCAACCAATCAAGCTCGACCCTGAGTCCACCAATCAAGATTGATTGGTCAAAACTAATGAAAAAATTAGATTACCACTTTCCTTAGCTCAATTTAATGGATGCATCGTTTGTCAAGGAGCCTTACGGTTTTCAAAAAAGTTGAATTTCTTGTAATTCTTGACCTATCTATCATGTCAAATCTTTGAAATTTCACATGGAACCCACCTGCAAACAATATTTTATTATGAAGAGGAAGGATAGGGCTTTCATTCAGATTGGTATTTTTTGGTGGCCATCTTGGGATTGACCACCATATTGGGCTTTATCAGATTACTGAATTTCTCACTATGTTAACAACCACCAATTTTGATTCTGAGGTTACCATCTGAGAGAAGAGAAAAATTCTATCAGATACACCCTACAGATTAGGTGAGCAATGAATTTAGCACTATGAAACAACCTGGATTCCGGTGTGTAGATAACTCTTTCATCTTTTAGCGGCAACTTTTAGCGATTTTGCCAACTTTGCGTGCGAGTAGCTCGGATTTTCGCGATGCGCGAGCAAAATTTTGATACGCTGCTCTTCTTGCTTGGACGGCATTTTGACAACTGAAGAGTGAATTCCAAAATCAAAATAGGAGCAACATTCTACACACACACACCTTCAAAATGAGGGGTGTTCAGGTTTTTTAAATGCAAAATTGAAAGAAATACGTCAAGTTGATATTGACCAAATTTTGACCGTATCACCCTTTATACTTTCGACTACGGTACTATATCCAAGTAGCAAATTTTCGTCTTTAAAAGTTGCAGCAACTTGATTGTGACCAAAGTATGTCACATATGACTTGCTCAATATCGACTAGAAAAATATCGAACTGCAGCCAATTGACTGATTGTTTTCCAAAAAAAAACCTGCTATCGTCACACCGCCTACCTCAAACGCAACCATCGCTTCCTTGAAACACCCATAAAACTCAGTCTCACCCGTCACTAAGCGAAACGAAATCACTCCTGGAAGTATCAATCATTCCGGCCGCGTGAATCAAATCAAATGGATCATTAACTCCAGACAATTGTGGCGTGCTTTAACCTTCTGTTGTTGGTTTGCTCACCTCACCATCATCGTGCCCCGGAGAAAGATATCGACCCATTTCAGCGCCGAGTAAATGGGATTAAAGGCTTAATCGTAATTAATATATCACAATATTCTCGGCTTCCCTCGATGGCCCACGCTCCGCCAATTTCATCTCCCTCTGAGGTACGATGATGGCTCGGCGTGAAAATAAAACATCCCCAGACTACCCCCGAAGCGTTATCTCTCGATGGGTGTTGTTGATACCGAACGCCTGATTATGATGATTATGATGGTTATTATTATTGTTATTACCCTCACCGCCATGCGGTTGGTAAATATTTAGGCGATGCTTTTTTTTTCCGCCATCACAACCACAACAACATCAACCTACCATTAGCTTCCGGTACAGTAGCTTTATCTCGTCCAGCGGTGGTATCGATTCGATCGTATAGGTGAGATTGTAGCGATCGAGATGGTTGCTGTAGGCCGGCGAGAGGAAGTTAGCCGGACCGGGTCGGCCCGACACTTCGATGTACTTTTTCGTTCGACCGAGGGCGTTGTCTGCCACGCAGCTGAAAAAGGGAAGAGAATGAAATTAGAATCGGGGAAATCGTTAGAGCTAAGTGGAAATGTGAAGCTTTTCGGTGAGTTTCGGTTTACAGTACAAGGTTCAATATCACTGCATTTATGAGTCCGCTTTGAGAAGCGTCCGAGAACGGTTGTGTGTTTTTGCTCCGCTGCGTGCTTTTTTTTTAGAGCTCGGGCTATCTTTGTGCTGCCGTGTAGTTTTTCGGTGCTCGCATTTGAATAGTTTTATGTCCCGGACGCGATAATTCTATTTAGAATGATTTGTGCTGATGTTTTTCCCCTGTTGCTTTGGTGCCTGGTGTGCTCTCGCTCCCTTTGTTGACAGTGTGACTCGACCGCGCTGATCTATTATTAGGTTTTTGCGGTGTGCATTGCTTTTGTGCACAGAGTGACATGAAGAAGAAAAGTGATATTTAGTTATTGTGTGTTTGGATTCGCTGGAGGAGGAATTGTTTAAAAATGACTAGAGAAAATTAAGCATCGAGAATGCGCTCCCGGATGTATTGATTTGGTGAGTACGTTCCAGTTGAAGATTGTTCTCTCTAAATATCCCTTTTTTGAATACGTTTCATCAATCAAACATTATTATATGTTGGGTTTGGGGGGGGGGGGGGGCAGCCTAAGGGTTTCAATGGATTTGTAGACTGGACAAGTGTTCGTGGATTTGCCAGTCCCTTGTCACGTGTTGATAGACGTACATCTTGTCGTTTGTCTTCCAAAGGTCTTCAATGAAGTTGATTCACCCAGCTGCAACAAACCATCAGGCAGAACTTTACAACCAGTGAAGTATCTGCAGTCATATGTAATCCTTGCACTGATGGTGGGTTCTATTCACATCACATGTTCCCCTATAAAAAAGTGAATTTGTGTCGCATATATTATAATCTCATCTGATTCTGGATTTTACAGTCAGCTTCACAGGTGTCAACCTCCTGCCCAGGAATAAGGAAAACTTCGTTAAAGTCTCTTATTGTGTTTCCCTTCCGACTGGGGGACTTGTAGACTTCGGGGCAAACTTTCTTTGACGGTGGTGGATTATTCCCTTCGTTCGCCTCCGTATCCGAAACTGGCTACATCTGTTCCAATTCTGCTTCAGCCTCCAAGCGAGTCTTGAACTCTCTTTTTTTCACTCAATTGATACGTTCCCACATTGGGTTTGGCATGGAGAACTCGTCTTGAGAGAGTTTCGCTACCGCGTTTTTTTTCCGGCCAGTGTAGGATTCCAGCTTCTTTCCAACCAGAAAGAATTACGGTTAGGCATGTTTCGCATCTTTCAATTGTTTGTACCACTTTAAATGGCATTTTTTCCGCACTTGAACTTGGACGACACTAGCTGACTCCCTTCCGAAACATTTTGAACTGTCACTTTTCTCCAGGCAACTTTGTCATCATAAAACTGAACGGTACCAAGTCAAGTCAAAATGGATAATAAATAAACAATAAGGTATTCAAATTTACTTTATAAATGCTATAATAAACCATTGTGCAGCGATGATCGAGACGTTTCCGTCGGATAAGATTATTTTGCGGCCGAGTGTCTAGGAAGCTATGGAAACCGAAATGGCTCTTGATTTTGTTTTATGCCCTTATAGTATAAACCACCATCGCACTTTGTGAGTTGCCCCAATAGAACCCTTGCTTTTGGTTTGAATCAGTACAAATTCGTTCTATTATATATATAAAAAAAAAAAAGAAGTATACATATTCATTTTCTTCCGAACTAAATAAACCACCATCACACTTTGTGAGTGGCCCCAACAGTATCCTTGCCGTTGGTCTAAATCGGGTCAAATCGGTTCTAATAATTATTTTATATTCAATCAAGTAAACCACCATCACACTTTGTGAGTGGCCCCAACAGCATCCTTGCTGTTGGTTTAAATCGGTTCAAACCGCTTATAATTAATTATTTTGGTCATTGATAAAATAAAATAAACCATCATCACACTTTGTGAGTGGCCCCAACAGTATCCTTATTGTTGGTTTAAATCGGTATACACACATCTAATAATGATCTACATCTCTAGACAGCCGGCTGTTTAGAGCATAAATCGAAAACACTTATAAATAACTACACAAAACAAAAGATCGCATCACTTATCAAGGTGAATCCTGATCCAACGAACCTAACCCACTAACAAAACCTCCTTCCTGTGACTTTTGTGGGATGCAGAGGTAAACACGGTCCCAAAACAACAAAAGTCACACACTAACATTCCTTCCCTCTCCCACCTGATTGCAAGGACGTGGCCGGTGACGTTATTGATCTTTAAAGGTAGGAGTCACTGGAACATGTACACTGAGAATGGCAGGTTACTACCAAGCCCCATTCAGTTGATTCTTTGTACAATTTCACTGGTTCAGATCAATCACGGAGTGCAACTATCGATACGTGCAGTCAGACTAAGCTAAGCTAAGCTAAGCTAAGCTAAGCTAAGCTAGCAAGGTTCAATATCACTGCATTTATAATTGACCCAGAATTCGACTAACTGGAAATGGTGAGAGGATTGGAATGGTTTCATAGATTTCTTGATTATTTTATCTCGGCAAGTTTTTCGCTGAGATCCAGCAAAATAAAATACCGAGCTGCTCGGTGGTGCCCATTCGGCAAAAAAATCTAAGCGTGCAGTTGATTTTTATTATTGAATACAGCAGTTTTCAGTGACATGCCATGTATCAGGCATTTTCGTGAATTAACTATATCGATGTACTTTCAGGATTCTTCTGAAAATCTTAATTTTATCAGGAAGGTGTGCTATCGCAGAGCTCACACTTCCTATTACAGCAATACACTTTAATGTAGATGCACAGATATTAGTCCTGAACTCTTAACGAACAAAAACTTCCTTATCCTCTCAAAGATTAAATCGGCTTCCACGCCAATCATCATCCGATAGCATGTACCTCCGGCTGGTGGTAAATCTGATCAAAATAGTCCATTACAGCTGGGATTATGCCCCCATCTTGCCTTATCACTAGAGGTGCAAACTACTTCTTTGCTTTCTATCGCTCTCTAGACCCCCGAACAATCACTAATCTGCTAGACCAAAGCCGTGATCGTCTTCAACTCGATGAATAGTGTATGGTGTGGCAAAGCGGGAGCTTACTTCCTCTTTTGTGTTCGCAACTTTCAATTTTCTTCACAATAAATCACACGGAAATAAGGATTTATTATCTTCTTATAGTTTGCCGCTCAGGATGGATGGTGCAGCCTTTTTTTCCCCCACCATTCATCGCCATCGGTTGAGCCGATGTGAAAAGAAAGTCTCTCTGGCAACTCTGGGAGATGGGAGGGGCTGATGGAGGCATTATCATGATGCCTGCTCGGTTCCGGCTTTTTTGCACCCAACATCGAACACACGAACAGGCGTCTTTATGATAGTACTTAGCGTAATCATGTAAATTTCAATTCAACTTTTTCTGCTCATAAATCATCTTGCCATTCAAAGTGGCTGACTATAAATAGGCTTGCAGCCTGAAGGGGAGCAATTCGATCGGGAGGGCTGCAGCTCAGAGGGCGTACCATCGCATCGTCGGAAGGAAGCACGGGGCGTGAAATGAACTGAATTTACAGCACCATTCAAGTGTAATAAGTATCATTAACGTCGATATGAATTCTCAATTTGCGGATAATCCGGATCGTTGCGCTCGCAAAGTGAACGCGGGGCACGGATGGATGTAAGGGCAAGTCGTAAATTTCGGTGGTCGGGGTGGCCGTGTTCCGTACCATCATCAGCGCATCCCAGGCGCTGCAGTTTGTGCCACGAAAATTGATGATGGGATGTCAGGCGAAATTGAATTTGAATCAGGGCTCAGGACCACTTGTTTCATTGTTCCATGCTGAAGTTTAATTTAAATTCCATTCAAGCGGTGTTGTTTCGTAACTGGGCTGCAAGATTCCAACGTTCATTAGTCCCCAAGCTCTAATTGCCGAACCGAATGGAATTCAAACAAGTTTGCGATCATTGTACGACATCGCCACTGGAGAATGGAATAAACTTTTCAAATTTAAACGTAATATGTGCAGCGGTGGAGTCAGGTAGGGGACGTATCCTGAGGCAAAATATCTTTATAATTCCATACAGGTATGCATTTCAGACGATATTTACATTTACCCTTATTAAACATAGCCGCAAAAATCGCCAGAAGGTAACCTTTATGGAAAAATAGAAATTGAAAAATAGAGTAAACAACTGATTTTTTAAGCCACCCTTAACCAATTCAGAAAAATTGCTGACAAATGGAAACGGTAACAGATAGAAACAAATTGTTTCTACAGGAAAAAAATCTGTAAATCATCTTAGCTACATTTTTTCAGAATGCGTCTTTACCTTTAAAAATAAAAGAAGTTAATCTATCTATCAGCCATTTCGTATCAAAATGGGGGGAGGTAGCTCATCGATTCTTCCGGTTCGCCTCCTAGCATCGTGCTATAAGGTACCAGGCGATAACCAGGGTAGTTGATCGATAGCTCGATGACGTCATTTCGTTGGCGTCTGCAATGGGAAATGCTCATAGCAGGCGTTGACGATGGGACGTTGTCGAGTTGTTGAATAGCAACTATCGTGGTAACTCACCGATTACCTGTCGATCTGCCAAATTTGGAAAGACGTCTGCATTGAATTGTCTCATATAATAATATTCCACCCACAATATCACAAGAAATTGCGAGTAGCTGAGTGGAATGGAGATAAGTTAAGCATTGGGTAGAGGACCAAGTCTCCCCTGGGTGGTGCCAGAAGATGAGCGCAATAGAATCATCAAGTTGCCATAAGGCACGGAATGAGACTATTGCATGGCTGGGTAGTCAAAGTCTTCCATTCGTTAGTCATTTCAGGTGGATTAGAACAGGTTTAGGATTAGGGTATGATTTTTCAGATATAATTTTAAATAGGACCTAGATTATTTAATACACTAGTAACCTCAACTTCTCTCACAATGTTTCATTGTGACTTATCAACACTCAATGGGTAAAATATCAAAT